AGAGAAAGGATGAATTTAACGGAGAGAAGTAAGAGAAAAAGATGGTCGAGTGTGGAAGATATTTACGGCAGAAGCATGAATTCACTTGCTGGTTTTTTTTTGAAGATACTATAGAACACTTTTGTTTGACGAAAACAATTGTTGGAATTGTTTTTCTAATTTTTTTTTTTCGTTTGCAATCTTGTGACGTCATTTGTGCTGGAAATGTTGAGAAATTTAATCCTACGCAATCTGGGTCATTTATGACCCGAGCCAAATTACACTCTTGTATTTCTTCGAAAAGAATTTTTATTTCTATTGAAAAGTTTGAAAGTTTTGACTTAAGGAATATTTTTATAACGTAGAGACTTTGATAAGTAAATATTTTTTTTTAACCCTTTCACTGCTATTGGCGCCTTTTGGCAACACTTTCGTCTTAATTCAGTCCTTAAATTTTGCTTAAAATTCAATCCCTCGAGTACTCTCACTTTAATTTAATAACAGAAAATTTTGAAGTGATAAATTTTTCAATTTTTTAATTTTAATATTTGATAACATTTAAAAAATTCTGAACGCCAAAACGAAGGATTTTGCGATAATCTGCCGCAGTGAAAGGGTTGAAGTGTAGAACAGTAAAAAAAAATTAAACCTACGGAGTGCCTGCTAAACATGTCAACTAATTTTTTAACTAAAAATTTGGTTAACTGAATAACTGGTTAACTAAATTTTTCCTGCAAGGGAAACCGCACGTAGTGACTTAAATACAATTACTATGTTTCACTATACATTTAATTTTTTTAATATCATGAATTTGTACTTAAATTTTTCATCAATGGATATTTAATTCTCAAAAATATTACATAATTTAATTTGACTAAATATGCACTCACCGTCCGAACGATTTCACATTCGATCGTTTCGTGCCAAAGATGCAAATTCACGACGTAATTCAGTTACAGTGAAGTCCATTAAATCAGATCGATGCAATAGAACGACGATTCGCCAGAAATCGCGAGTCACGACAGTTGGACGCGGAAATTCCGCGTGACACGATTCTCGAAAGCGATTTCTCCAAGATATCGTACACAAAAGGAGAAAAAAAAAAAACGCACAGTTCTCGATACTATATAGTGTGCAACGTTACGTTTTGTCTCGTTATTACTCACGCTATTTGCTCATTAACAAGGAAGCAACGACTCGAAGGACGATGCCATTCAGATCGCACCAACGTTTTCTCTTCGATTCCTGATTATTCAACCCCCCGGACAGATAATGCGACACTTATTCCGACGCATGTTAATCAAGACGAATTTCACCTTGACACTATTTATGTTTTATGTCAAGAATTTATCGTGTTTCTGGTTCAAGATGATCGACGTTGATAAATTTCAGGATCGTTGAATATTTTAATCGCAAAGTGGACAATTTATGCGATTTATCAACTCGAATCGAGGGAAATTTCGATGAATTTAAAGCAAGAGTTTAATAATTAACTGTGGCAGAATGTTTGCAACCCAATTTTTGAAATTAGAAAAAAAAATATCAATTTTTGCAGTCTGAATCATTCAGGAATTTTTAATACACACTGTATAGGGTAATTTCGGGAGAGATGGACCAGGCAAGTATTTCCTACATTATCCGCCAGATATGGAAGAGAAAACACTGAGAGCCACGCTCGATCGCTTTCCGTAAAACAAATGTAAAACAAAAGAATACTGACGCTTTCCACATATGGTGGATAACGTAGGAAATACTTGCCTGGTCCATCTCTCCCGGAATTACCCTATAACCTGCAGTCGTGAATTATTTCAAAAATGGTAAATTTGTAGTTAAACGTAGTATCAATTAAGTTTAACTAAGTTTAATAATATTAATATTAAATTTAACAATATTAACCCCCTGCGGTCCAAACAGTCCACTTAATCCGCACTCATTCGGTCATTCTCCGGCAGTACCGTGTAGTTTCACTGTATTTCAATACTTCAGCGCAACGTTGATTATAAAACACCGAGTTTCAGTGTAATATTAATGTATAACAAAAAAAAAAAAAAAATGGTTTATTGTCATTTATAATTTATCATTATACAATAGGGTAATTTCGGGGGAGATGGACCAGGCAAGTATTTCCTACATTATCCCCCAGATATGGAAGAAAAAACACTGAGAGTAAAAGAAATGTAAAACAAAAGAATACCGACGCGTTCCGCATTTGGCGGATAACGTAGGAAATACTTGCCCTGGTCCATCTCTCCCGGAATTACCCTAACTGAAGGCAAAAATTCTTATATCGACGTAGGACCGCAAAGGGATAATTAAATTTCACAGTAATTAAACATTTTTTTCATATTTATAAATTTTCCTTCATCTAAATTCCAACTAAAATTCTACTAAGAAAATCAGGCTTTGCAAGGAAAAGAAGAAATCCGATTCTCTATTAATTCGAGCTCTAGGAAAAGCATCGTAATTCCCCTGGAGGATTCATTAAACCGGAAAAGCGTGGTTTGGTCCCGGTGCGGCGGCGGAACATCCTAAGCAGAATCCGAGAGAAAACAGGAAGAACGTGACGTCTTCAAGACTAAGATTATCAAGAGAATTGCAAATTGTCCGCGTAAAGAGAGGCGGTTATTAGCTTCGAAAGCTCCCCGAAGGACGAACGAGACAATGGAAAAAATGGGGACCTCCCTTCTCTCTCGAGGAAAGAAACGATCAAGGACGCGGACGTAATTCCACGGACCATTAGAATATTGGATCGTTAGATCTCTCTGGGAACAAAGAGGTTCCCTTTCCCCCAAGCTTGAAGGATCGGGAATGTTCCTCTTCTTGTAGCATCTCGATCCCTGGAGGATATTCGGAATATTTTCTCGAGTATCTTAATTCCACGGGAATATTTTCCCAAGTATTGTAAGAGACTTGGGGGTTTGAAGAAAATTCCAAGTTAAATATGACGGAGAACGTTTGCGATTGAAGTCGCGATTCTGTCCGATTGGAATTTCTGAATTTCTCTGTTCTCACGGAGAGTTCCGCGTTGCGGAGGAATTCGTGCTTGTGGAATTTTTAATTGGGGCTAGAGGGTTGCGTTTAAGTATTTTGTACTTTGTGTCGGGGAAAGTGGTAGGTGGAAAGTAGCTTTTGAGAGATTTCTTAGGGAACGAATGACAACTTTTGGAAGAAAAAAGGACAAGTTTTTGAGGGGAAAAATTGCAACTTTTTTAGGAAACTAAGGGACAATTTCTTTTAGAAAAAGGGACAACTTTCTGAGGGAAAGATTGCAACTTTCCTGCAAGATTTTTTAGGGGGCAAAGCAGAACTTTTGCAAGAAAAAAATGGCAACTTTATCGAGGAAAGAAGTTAGAACTTTTCTGGAAAAAAAGGGACAATTTCTTGTAGAAAAAAGGACAACTTTTCAAGGGAAAAAATTGCAACTTTCCTGCAAGATTTTTTAGGGAGCAAAGCACAACATTTGCGAGAAAAACAAAATGACAACTTTTTGAAGGAAAAAATTACAACTTTAATAGAAAGAGAGGGACAATTTCTTTTAGAAAAATGGGACAACTTTTCTGCAAAATTGTTTAGACAGCAAATCACAACTTCTGTAAGAAAAAAAAATGGCAACTTTCTTGAGAAAAAATTGCACGTACTTCCAGAACCAATTTTCCTAATCTCTCTACAATTATACGCGGATGGAATGAAAAAAGCGGAAATGTAACCGCGTAAAACAAACGATAAAACAAAGCAAACAATGAGATCCATTTAATCTTAACAAAAAAAAGAAAAAGAACATTTACAAGAAGTACCGAAGACGGTGCAACGAAGTCCAAGGTCCCGGTGATAAATTAGCGATGGTGGCCGGTGAATTAATTCGAGCTAAAACCATTCAAAGGGAGCCGAATCAAGAAGCAAGAGAAGAAGAATAACGATAAAGCATAGAGAATGTAATTCAATTAGCGGGGGCTCGAGTAGTCGTGAATGACGATAGAGTGACCTTCCAATTGCGGAGGACATCGCGATGGCGTTCTTGGAACGACCAGAAAATCCAGCCGCCCAATCAGAACAATCCCAAGGAGGGTTCCCTACGATGAGACGAATCACACATCGATTAAACGACGACGCTATGTCGAGTGCTTAATTTCCGTGGGAATAGACAAACCACAGTTTCGCTTCTTTTCTCTGACTTCATTCTCAACGAAATTCCTTACGATTACGCAACTGGTTGCAGCACCACGTGTAGGAGAACTTTCGAGAGATTTCAAGAGAACTCTGAAACTTCTGATTTCAATTTTGGGAAAACTGTGAAATTTCTGATTTCAGTTTCAAGAGAACTCTGAAATATCTGATTTCAGTTTTAAGAGAGCTCTCAAATTTCTGATTTCAGTTTCAAGAGAACTTTGAAATATCTGATTTCAGTTTCAAGAGAGCTCTCAAATTTCTGATTTCAGTTTCAAGAGAGCTCTGAAATTTCTGATTTCAATTTTGGAAAAACTGTGAAATTTCTGATTTCAGTTTCAAGAGAGCTCTCAAATTTCTGATTTCAGTTTCAAGAGAGCTCTGAAATTTCTGATTTCAATTTTGGGAAAACTGAAATTTCTGATTTCAGTTTCAAGAGAGCTCTCAAATTTCTGATTTCAGTTTCAAGAGAACTCTGAAATTTCTGATTTCAATTTCAAGAGAACTCTGAAATTTATAATTTCAATTTCAAGAAAACTCTGGAATGTATAATATCAATTTCAAGAGAACTCAGAAATCCACGATTTCCATTTCACTTTCAAATTTCCAAAAATTCCCAAAAATTGACGAATATTAAAAAAAGAAATCTGAATTCAGAGAATCTCTACAGAACCGATGTTCTAAACTTAACATTCAAAAAATCTGTTTTGTACCAACTCCACATCTAAAAGCCTCGATATGCCCCCCCAAAATAACAGATAACAAAGAAAAAAACAACTGCACCGATAACAAGCACAGAGCAGTTATAATACACGGAAAAAAGCAAGAGATGCATAGAATTAGGATGATTTACTCACAGATACAGCAAGCTGCCAATATCCTCGTTGCGTCGTCTGGTGGCGTGCAGTCCGGGAACACCGGCTTCAGCACGTAGACGCTGAAAGTCAAGGCCACGATGGCCTGACTGCAAGGTCGCACTATCATGCACTCCACCCAGAGCCTGACAAACGCTAGGAAAGGTCCGAAAGTCTCCATGATGTAAGCATAATCGGCGCCAGACTTCCTGATCATGCAGCCGAGCTCAGCGTAACAGTACGCGCCTACCTGTCGTGCAACCAGTAAACAGACACATTGAAGTAGAAGGAACTCTCCCGTTTAATCTCTTCAGGGGGCATTGACACATATCGTGTCGTTGTAAGAAAAGTGTCACAGTGAAAAATTTTCGATTTTTGTTTTACTGCTTTTCGAGAGCCAAGGACGTTCGATTTATCTCACTCAGGCTATAGCCAGCGTCTTTCGCTACTTTGTCGCTAAGAAGAATTGCTACGCGAGAAGAAATTTCAGAATTTGATACGAGTAAATTTTAGCGTAACTGAGTAATTTTTTAAATAGGAATTTTCTTTCGGTTCTCTTCGCAAAATTTCGTGTTTCGAAATTGGAACAGTTTTCACGCGGGGATACGTTTAATTTTTTGGAAAAGTTCGAATACCTGTGATAGGAAAAATATGAAACGAAGTTTCAGAATTTCCAATGAGTAAATTTTAATGTAATTAAGTAACTTTCTTTTGGCTCTCCTCGAAAATTTCACCTTCTCGATTTGGATCAGTTTTTCACGCGGGGATACGTTTAATTTTTTGGAAAAGTTCGAATACCTGTGACAGAGAAAATATGAAAAGAAATTTCAGAAAACTAAATTTTACTGTAATTAAATTATTTTCCAAGTAGAAACTTTCTTTTGGCTCTCCTCAAAAATTTCATGCTTTTCCACGTGCGACAGTTTTATCACAGATATCTAATATATGTAAGTATACACTTTTTCCAAAAATTCGAATACTAATGATAGAAAAAAAAAATGAAAATATAGCGAATTACTATATAACTATTCATAACACAATCGCTTAATAAAAGAAAAAAAACAGTTCTATCTGCTATCGATTAAAAACGAACAAAATGCAACAGCATAAAAAAATTGAACGATATTTTTCTAACTTGAAAAAAGAAATGGCCCTCGAAGGGGTTGATCGATTGGAGAAGTGGTGAAAACGTACCGCGGAGAAAATACCGGAAGCTGTCCACACCAGAAGGCTCGCGTTCACGCTACCGGTGTACTTGAGGACACCGGTCGGGCTAATGAATATGCCAGAACCAATAATGGAACCGACGATCACGGTAATACCGTTCATAAGGGACATCTTCGCCTCGAGTTTTATCTCGTCGGTGGATTTGTCGGCGATCGGGACCGGGTCGTATGGCCCCTTCTCGCCATCCTTGATGCTTCCCGACTTCGACATCCTCCCTGAAACGGAAATCACCGAAAAACATTCATTTTCATCTCCATGGAGATTATTTCAATTTTATCTTTACCTATATATTTCACTTTCATTTTTTGTACACTTCAATTTTATCTTTGTATATTTTACTTTCATTTTTGTGTATTTCAATATTAATTTTATGTATTTCAATTTTATCTTTATATACATTCACTTTCATTTTTGTATACTTCAATATTAATTTTATATTTTTCAATTTTATCTTTATGTATTTCAATTTTTTATCTTTATTTACAGTGCGACCCCCCAAAAAACGCGGGAGATTCAAATTATGTTCCGCCTACGCGACGCCGCTTTTTGGGCGTTGATAGTTTCTTCGTCGACTCGATTTTCCTCAGCTTCGGAATTTCTATTTTCCTTTCTTTTTATCGCGTTACACCGATACAATAGTAATTTTTTTATGGTGTTATATAGGGGCAGTGGCAATTTCTTTATCTCGTTCTACTGAGTCCTACTGTATTTCACTTCGAGCGTATATCCAGTTTTATCAGGCGAGTGTAAAGGTTCCGGAAAAATGGCGTCGAAGGTAGCACAGTAATTGTGACCTTTTAATTCACTCTAATTCGACTTAAAAATGAATTTCAGAATGAAACGAGAAATAAATTTTAATTTGAAAATGTTTACTCGTAAATTTATGTCAATCGTAAAACAAAATTACTCATAAAAGAATACAAAATGGTAACGAATGAATATTATTGGATTAATAAGAAGTTTCTGCGGTCAGTTTACTTCTGCCCATTAAATATAAATATGTAATAAAAGACACACGACAAAAGGCTGTTTGATCGACCGAGATAATGCGACAATGAAAAAGTGATCAGATAAGGATCAGGTGAAAATAAAAATGGAACCACTTGTTGTAACAAATGATAATCTCGATTTAAGCTTACCGTTCCTCGAGACTGCTTAATAAGTTAAAACGACGTCACAATTCTCATCTTAATATCTCACGTGAGCGAGACATTAGGTGACGAATGGTGAACGAAGTCTTCTCGAGACACCCAAGGACGTTCAATTGATTTCACACAGACTATAGCCGCCGTTCCCTTCCACTTTTCGACACTCACTCAACCTAAGCCACGCCTTTTCCCCATTCAACAAATACTGCAATTTCAAAGTAACCACTGCTACCAGATCCACTTCAATACCTCTCCTCCATTTTACAGAGACGATTCTTTACGAACAAGAAAAGTCACTTGAATCGAAAAATTTACTTCCAACACAATTCCATTTTTATTAATAATAGATTTCTTTGTTTAAAAATTTTTTCTTAGAAAAATATAAAGAGTGGTGGTGTTTAACATAATGACCGTTTAATTATAAAAATTTGGGTGGAAATTTCTAACAAATTTCTAACAGAATTATCAAAAAAATTCTCAATTTACTATTCATCAAAGACACCAAGATCAGTCGATAAATAAGAAATTCTTAAAAAGGAAAAATTCGATCACGAAAGAATGAAGAAAATCCTCGTATAAATCTTTTTCGTTACCGACACCAAGATCAGTCGATAAATAAGAAATTCTTAAAAAGAAAAATTCGATCACGAAAGGATTAAGAAAATCCTCGTATAAATCTTTTTCGTTACCGACACCAAGATCAGTCGATAAATAAGAAATTCTTAAAAAGGAAAAATTCGATCACGAATGAGTTAAAAAAATGCTCCTACAAATTTTTCCAACATTTTCCAAATCTCTCCCGTTCAACAAGTGCCACAATCTCCCTCGAGAACTTTGCTTTAATTGTTCCAATCCATCGTCGCTATCGAGTTCAAAACTTCAGCCACTTCAGATGTGTATACACAATTCGTACAATTTCCATATTCAACACACGTATTGAATTATTCAATCGAACAAAAGCACTGCAAGAGCTTTTCCATTTTTCCTCCAGCGATCTCCACCTCCTTGAAAATCGAAAAACACCTGTTGATCAGCTCGAGCAACGTGAAAACACACATCGTGCCTCGAATATATTCGATCGAAACTCACGATTTTTTTTTTATCCCCTCTTCGATCCATTAGATAAAAGCGTGGTTTCGAGGGAACAGAAGTGAGAAAAAGTCGGTGTTTATCGTCGTTCTGCTCCATTTCTTACCAAAGAAATTCCCTCGTTGGAATTTTCATCCAGTTCCGTTTCCCCCCTTGAATAATGCATCGCCAAACGTAAGAACAATCTCGCGCCTTTTACTTTTATGACTCGACAGGTCGATTCATCTTCAGGCTTCCCACGCGTGAAAGATACGTAGAAGAATTATATACAACGTTGGCCAAACATTTTCGAATCATTTTGTTGGTATACGATAGTGAATCCTTCTGTTAGTATGATCGATTGACCATTTTAAGTACAGCAGCACATCTGGACCTCCATCATGATTATCGATCGATCGATAAGTCATTTTTCGAAACAGACGAATTTCCATTTTCTTTCCTTCTTTTTCGCTAGTATTTGGAAATAATTTCTGTATACTTGAAAATCTCCGGTTTTTTCAATCGTTTAACCCTTTGGTGCTTTAACACTTTCGATACTTTATTCGAAGTAACCTATGTACAACAATTTTAACTAACTAAACTCAGTGGATTTTTTCTATTTTGAAATATTAAATTCTGAATGAGAATTAAAAACAATTTTTTTATCGTTTAACCCTTCATTTGACACCTTTTTTCTAATTAACCTGTATAAAGCAATTTTAATTAACTAAAACTACATTTAGTGGATGTTTTTTTTAAATACTGAATTCTAAACGAAATTAAAAAAATTACTTAAGTTTTAAAGGGTTGGTAGATGGTACTGATTTAATTGGAAGAAAAATTTCTGCAATTTGAGATTTGCTTTTTAAACATTGCTAAATTTTTTGTATGAAGATTGTTCAACGTTCGTTTTGAAAATAAAAGAAGATTTTTGCGCGGTGAAACGAAACTTTTGGCCAACGGCGTACATAAATATATTGCGCATTTGTTCGCTGCGTAAAAAGGCGACGAGTATGCACAGGCCTTGAACTTTTGAATATATATATGTATCTTGGCGAAGCTTATGGGACGAGTTGAAACACGCTATTTCCTAATACTTTAATAAAACGACTTATAAAAATCTCTTCGATGTTTAGTAAAGGAATGTTTTATCAAAAATTTTATTATTTTTCTTCTTCGATATCGATTGTTCAATTACGAGGAAGGTTATCTTAGACGGATAACCTGGTAATTAGTAGAAAAAACGAATTTTATTTCTTTTGCCTTTTCGATCGTCGATAGTCTTTTCTCTAAAGGGAAAAACGAAAGATAAACGAAACAAATGGAAATTTATTCGAGAACGATAACACCGCGTCCTTCTCTTTTGAATCTTTCAAGTTCGTTGCGTTTCCTGGCTGCGACTCGAAACTACGTTACGGAAACATGAGGAAAGCACTCTCGTTCACCGAGATACGAATTACAACGGCGAAACGAAGAAGTCTAATCGATACGAGACACTGGATACCGGAAAAAAAATATAAGAGTGTAAAAATAAACAATCACTCGGTATTTTACAGTCTGAACCAATTTCTTTGTCGCTGTTTTTCGGTAGAATTAACCGAGCAAGAAGGAAGTAAGTCGAGGGAACAATTTATGAATTTCTGTCGCACAAAAGATTCTAATTTTATGCGAGAAATACGAGTGGCTTAGAAAAATCGTGTCGATTTTTAAGAAAACAAGTAAACTCCATATTTCAAAGCAATTATTTTTTACTCTGTACAACATATAGTGGACTAAAAAAAAATCAAAATTAAAAAAAAAAGAATACAAATTTTCATGAAAATAAAATTAGATGGAATTATTTTTCAAATAAAGTCTAAGAAATTAAACAAAGAAATGATAGAGCAAAAAATTTGGGAAGAAATGTATACTTTATTTTGTTCCATCTTTCAAAAGTCGCGTGAAAAGATAATTTTAAAAGATTTTCGTATCGCGAGCTTCGTTACGTTTTCATCAAATGTTTCGTGTATTCTAACCTATTTTAGCATTATCTATGGAAAATCGACACGAATTTTCTGGACAATGCAGAAGTTTTAAATAATAATTAGCTGATTACCATAGCCGAGCCATGGATTGTCGTCGAACGAGATAATTTTCTGCAAGAACGATATACAGTACGTAACACCAATCGCGTCATGGAGATTTTTTTCGAATGTGAATTGTCAGTCGACCAATGGCGTTCGCGAACGTCGAAACACACCTTCCCGTCACCTGATACACTTTTATCACGCAATTTATATTTGTAGGCTTTAGGAATTGTACAAGTGATTGTACAAGTTTATTCGTTCGAATAGTGCATTTTCTTCATTACAGGCATTTCCTTTCGAGTCAAGGAAAAAGGGGGAAATTAATAACAAAAGAGTGAATTGCTTTCATTTTTAATTTAAAACTACTTTATATGGGTATATCGACATATCGCGAGATATCTTTACTAAAAATATTGTAAACTACCAAATAATAACAAAGTAATAAATAATAATAATTCTTAACCTAAAAAGTCACTCCTAACCATGCGACGAAAATTAAGAGCCCTCTATCTACGTTGTAAAATAATTGTCGTCAAAGGACCATAAATATATCCATCTTAATTCCCCTATTTGTTACTGCATCCGTATTACGTATTTTCTTATTACTTCCTGCAAAAAAGAAAGACAGAATCCCCTTGTTTAACAAACGTTTAATTTATTTGCACTCGATTTAACCGTGCAGCTTGCACGTTGATAACGAAACGTCTTGACTGAGAACGCGCGTTAAACCTATCAATCGTAAATAACGAAGAATCCTAATGTTATAATTAAAAAAGAAACGAAGACAAGAAGAAAGAAATAGTTATTAAAGATTTTTGTTAAAAAATCTAATGGGTTATAAAGATACGTTCAGGTTAACGTTTACCGATCGATCCATCGAACGAATATCTCGTTGACGTACCCTCATCGAGCGAGCCACAGTCGACGATTGTC